GATAGGATCTGCATAGGGTTGCTGAAAAGATATGTTTCCCTTTTAATGTGAAAAAAATACACAATCTGTGTGAGTGGTAAGTTCACCCTAGAATTTCAACTTAGGGCAAGGAAATTGTTATTTAAAGAGGAAAAGGAAAAGGAACTGATAAAGTTATACATGTGAAAAATTTTCTACTTGTGTTCTTGTGACTTTATCTGAATTTTCCAATTTAGGGTTGTGAGCGTGAGGTTGCTGAAGCTGAGAAAGGCTCTTCAAATGAACTCAAAAGTGAGTGCCTTTTGCGTTTGTCATGGGCTCTTGTTCACTCAAAGCGACCTGAAGATGTACAACGTGGGATAGCTATGCTTGAAGGTGAAAAAACAAATTTGTAAATATTGCATTTTTAGTCAAACTTTTTCATTTCAAATTATTTCTTATGAAGATATTGTAATCTGCAAAATCTTTTGTGTGTGTGTGTGTTAGGTTCATTAGCAAGCAGCATAAGTAGCCCTTTGGAAATGAGAGAAAAAATGTATCTGCTTGCTGTTGGGTATTATAGAAGTGGGGACTACTCAAGGAGCAGGCACCTTGTTGATCGCTGCTTGGAGGTATAAATATTAAATATTAAATAATTTTATATTTAATTTTCAACAAGTCCATTGCTATTTTTATTGCTTAATGCAAAATCCAAAATAAAAAAAAGTGAGTTTCTCAAATAACTTAATGCACTGCAAAATATGGATATTGCAGATTGCACCGGAATGGAGGCAGGCAATATCTCTCAAGAAATCAATCGAAGATCGTATCAAGAAAGGTAATATCATTTCTATTAGGTGAAATGCAAGAAATAGCAACCCACTTTTATTTTCATTTCTTTGTATTACAACATTTTATTATTTTCCAAATAAATGAAAGTGAAATTGTTTTTTTTTTTTTTTTTTTTTTTTTTTTAAATTTGTTTTGATTATGGTGGGGATGCAGATGGAGTGATTGGCATAGGCATTGCTGCGACGGCTGTTGGTCTTTTGGCTGGTGGAGTTGCGGCGGCCCTGTCACGCAAGAAATGACATTGTACTTCCATATATGTAATATGTATTCTCATAATCACATAATGTGCATAACAAGAGTAATGTTTCCTTTGAACAACCAAACATATAAATCTTTTTGCTTTTATGTTACGCCTAAACTCCAACAAATTTCACTAAAACCGCTTCTTTGCAAGTTTTGCACATATAGTTAGTCTTGTTTTGTACTGCGTTTGACGTGCATTGGACCAGACAAAAATTGTAAATTTATGTCTCATCTGAAAAGTGAATGTCCTTCTCAACCTTGTAAAAAGCTTGTCTAGTTTCGTTTAATCATGATCGGAGAACTTTGATACCCACATATGTCTATTTGTGGGTACAATCTTTGTTTTTTGGACGCGTAATTGGTAAAAACCCTAATATTTTTTTTATTATTGCTATGGCCACAACTTTCTCGCAGGATTATTACTCTAGCCCACTTAACGAGTTTCATGGTTAACTTGGTTAAATGTTTTGCAAAATCAGTCCTAAAAAGTTCAAATTTAGTCCCTGAGGTTTGCAAAAATTACACCACATGGTTTTTTAACTTTATTTTTTATTTTTTGTATACTTTATTTATATTCGGTTTTTTTATAAATATATATACATTTTTTATTTTCTTTTTTTATATACTTTATTTATTTTCATTTTTTAACTTTATTTTTCAACAATTTGATTTTTTTACCTTTTATACCTTTTGTTTTCTATTTTTTTCTATCTTAGTTATTTATGGTTTTTCTAATGTTTTTATTTATTTTGATTCAAGTAAACGAACTCGAATTTAATATAAATTACTATAACAAGTTTTTTATAGAGACCGATTATTATTATTATTATTATTATTATTATTATTATTTTCTTTTAGTCTATTATCAAATTGAAAAATATTATCTTGAATTTAAACTATTGATATCACATATAAAAATATGATTTAATTTCCAAGTTATATAACACATTGAAACACTAATTCTCAATAAACAAGCTAATTTTTTTTTTAATTTTCATTTTTTCGTAATATAAATATAATAGCATTAAAGAAAAAAAAGTAAAAAGAAAATAAGTTGGACCGAAATTACAAATATAAACATAACAAATTTATTTACTTGAACAAAAATAAAAAAAATTACAAAAACTATAAATTATATAAATTGTAATATAATCTAATATATTAATACATTTTATATTTTTTGAAAAAGGTCAATAAAAAGTTAAAAATACAAAAAAAATAAAAACAAATAATTGGAAAACAAATAAGAAAAAAAAAGATGAAAAAATTAAAATATAATACGAAAAGAAATATGAAAAAAAAACTAAAAAAAAACTCTAATGTACTCTATATATACACTATAAAATAGAAAAAAAAAGGTAAAAAAAATCAAGTTGATGAAAAATAAAGTTAAAAAATGAAAATAAATAAAGTATATACAAAAACGAAAATAAAAAATGTATATATATTTATAAAAAAAAGGAAAATAAATAAAGTATACAAAAAACGAAAAATAAAGTTAAAACATCATGTAGTGTAATTTTTTGCAAACCTTAGGGACCAAATTTGAACTTTTGGGACTGATTTTGTAAAAAAATTAACCAAGTTAACCATGAAACTCGTTAAATGGGCTAGAGTGATAATTTTGCGAGAAAGTTGTCGCCATAGCAATAAAAAAAATATTATGGCTTTTTCCAATTACGGGTTAAAAATTTAGGGCTTTTATAATATTAGTCATTGTTTTTTTTAGAGTTGTTTGCTACTGTTTTTGTGTATGCATTTGATTGAGATCAAAATTGATGTTTATGAGACAAATAAGTTGCAAGTTTTGGTCCAATTAGGAGTGTGTATCGGTTCACATCCATTTTTTTATAGAACTAATGTGATTGAATAATCCATTGAATGTTGGATATTGCGAGCCGATCAAATCGAATTAATTATTATTAACCGAATCGAAATGATCTAGTTGGATATCCGATTGGATTGGTTTATATGGATTGAATATTCAAAATATCCAATGTTTATCAAATTTTCATCCAATCTCCAATCGACCAAAATTACCATAAATAACGTAAGAGTATACCCTTCAAAGAATCATGGTTCAAAGATACGACAACTAATTGAAAAAAACTATAATTTTGTTATTTCTTATTATAATTAATTTTTGAAAGAGAACGAAGTTCAAATTTTAATTTTAATTTTGTTATTTCTTATTATAATTTTGTTAAATTTTCTTTAGAAAACATTTAAATATATGTATTAATAGTTTTATATAAATATGGAATTAGATTTTATTTTTCTAAAATTGCTAACACATGCAATCCCTAGTCCTTTCGTCCTAAATGGAACTTGAACCTTCAACCTTTGTCCGAGGGACACATTTCCGCCAACATTTGATACTACTTGGCTAGGAGCCATTCTATTCGATGAGTCCAATTAGACATTAGTTAGATAAATCCAAGTGGATTCACTCGGTTCAATTTTTATAGGATTTAGGATTGGCGAGGAACCGACTTGATCTAGTTTAGATGATAAATTTTGTGGGTTCCAATTGGATAAATGCAATCGAATAATAATTGGATTTACTTGACTTAAATTTTATTGGATTCGAGACTAATATTCAATAACTAGGATAATAAAATTTTGGAACTAATCCAATTCAGTTATAATTGGATGTTCGGTGTCCATGGGTCCGTTTTACTTGGATTGGTCAATTTGAACTAGATTAGTTAATTCATGCACATCCCCAATCCCATCCAAAAAGACGGAGGAAGGACCCATTTTCAATCTCTCGTCTATGAAAAAGACATGGATTTTCTCATGGTTCCCAATAAACGGTGTTTATGATAAGTAACAAATGCATCCTTCTAGTTGCCTTCTTTAAAAAATAGTAATGTGGGAAGCACATTCTATACTTATCTTTGAATGGAAAGTGGAGGCTCTATTTCCTAACGTTTGTTCCCTTCTATTGAGCGCCTTAAGGAAGAATTGTGTTAAATTTGGTTTATGAGTCGGGGTGTGTTTACAATCAAGTAAAGATTGTTATTTACTATCTAGGTGTCCAAGTGGTATCAAGATTAGGGTGACCTACCGATAGTGTTTATAAAAAGTAAAAACTGTTGATGCATATTGGTATCAAGATATTACAAACACAAAGAAAAAAAAAAAATATGCATCTAACATAATACAAAACCGAAGAAAAATATTCGATTCTTACATAGGAAATAAGAGAAAACTAATGTAAAACCAAATGTTGACACATCTTAGAAAATGTATTGTAAAATAAATAAAATAGGAAAACTAACGTCTCAAAGGTAAAAAATAGTACCCATCAACTAGTAACAACATAAGCAAGTTAGATCAATGTTTTAAAAACCGGTTTTTTAGTTGAACCGATATGGTGACCGGTTCACGGTTCAACCGGTTTAACCGGTTCGACCGCCGGGTGAACCGGTTTCTATAGTTTTCATGTTTTTTTCTATTTTCCTATACATACATACATATATAAAGTATGAATTTGATATTTACAAGTTCAAACATTAAAAATACACATAAAAATATGTTGTAGATGAATCCAAATACATTAAAATAACACATAACCATAAGTTTTAGTGTTTTACATTAATCTATATACGTCAAAAAGAAAATAAAATATAATACTGAAACGAAATATAGTTTTAAATGAATACAAACACATCAAAAAACTTTATAACATTTACCATATGTTTTTATTTAGAGAAAACTAAATACATTTTAAAAAAATCACCAAAGTTTATTATGTAAATGATTCTTTTTCATGTGTTTTTATTCGGTTTAACCGGTTCACCGGGTTTTTCTAAAAACCGGCCGGTTCAATCCGGTTCAGAAATCAATGTAAAACCGGTGATAGTTGAACCGCTCCTTCTCCCGGTTTTCGGTCCAACCGGCCGGTTCAAACCGGTTTTTAAAACAATGAGTTAGATAAATCGGGTAACAAGTCAAAATGAGTACTTTTTATGTCTTCTTTCCCTACTTTTACATAATATCTAAATATCATACACATTTTTAATCCTATTTTCTGTTCTAATAAAAGGGTTCCACATTCCATCTTTTTTAGCTAAATATTTGAGTTTTATCCATTTAGGTCTGTTTTAAATATCAATTTCCGGCTTCAAAAAGAATTCAACCTCTTCAAAATCCCAAGCACAAGGAGAGCATGGAGTAGATTCCAAATGCAATGGAGATTCCGATGGAGGTCCCAACTCCAACCAATCACAGAATTCTGACATTTCCAACTCCACAGGGGTATAATGGTCAATCTGCATCACCAGAAAGGAATATAAAAAAACAAGAATCCAGTCAGATATTTACATTAAACCTTTTGCATAATTGTTTTCCAAGAGAAGATATTGTGAACCTTTAAAGGATCGGACAACTGAGCTTCTAATGGCAAATGACCTGAAAAAAAAAATGAGAATTTGGTGTTTTTGACATGATATATTATAGCATCCTACTTTCATTTCTTTCTATTATAGCATTTAGGCTTATATATAAACAACCCTAACATGAATTGAATGAATATAAAGGTAGAAGAAATTTACCATAATGTCCTGGAAGAACAATGTCCCAAAACATTGATTCAGTGATTGTTTGTTGTGCCTGAAGACACTTATTGTGGTCATGCAAAAACCTTTCTTCTGCAATATTAAACTCTTCTTTTTCCTTTTCCTTTTGTGAATTCTTTTTCTTAGTTGATGCTTCTTGATGTTGATGGATTTTGGGTTTATTTGTGATGTCATTAAGTGCTTTACGGCTTCCTTTCCCTAAACCCAACTTTGATTTCTTTTTTTCTTCAGAAATCATCATCGTCTCTGAAACAAAATCAACTTTAATCAATATTAAAGAAAATAATGAGAAGAGAAAGAAGAGTATACTCTTTGGGATGATGTTTGAATTCTCATTCTGAATGATCAATCGCTGTTGAATGAGTTGATTTGACATTGTTTTTTCTCTCTTTATTTGCGCAAGTTTATATAATGATCCTGCAGCACAAGCCACAAAGTTCTGAGAAATATGGATAATTTACACATCATGGATATATTGTATAGAAGCATAAATAATAATAAAAAAACATATAAATGTAACAGGATTTAGAAGAAATATATCAAATTAGTACCCATTGATGAAATAACATGTCATGGTTAAGAATCAGACACAATTAGGCATTAGCAAAAACTGAAAACAACTATAGAATATTTTTTTGTCATTTGTATAGATGAATCGCCAAATTGATTTTGCTGAATCACTTCGTCCTCAAGACACCACAATCTAGGTAGATTTTTAGATTTTTTTTCTTTTTTTTTTCTTTTTGGAATGAAGAGCTTTGTTCGTTTAAGGTGTCAATGATATTATAACATGTTCACTTCAGATGCTCATCAAGTTTAGTCGCAAAACTAAGTTTTGGCGATTCGTTCCTAACACCAGAATCCTCGTTCTAACTAATGACAAAAAATCTAAAATAGAAGGAAACAACGAAACCCTTAAAAGCAAATTCGAAACGAACAAAACGAAATTATCAAGTAGTAACTAGAAGAAAAGATGATACCTTGGTACGGTTTGATCGACTAAAGAGAAATGGTGATCTTCGAATGTATTTCAAAGTTGCTTCAGGGCGGGAGAAACGCTGAAAATTTGAAAGTGATGAAATTCAAGCCCTAACATCTTTAAAGGGTGTTTGGAATTGCTTTAATAAACATTTTTTGATAAAAATATTTATTAGCATACTTAGACGTTAAAAAAAAATTTAAAAATATTTTGATTTGCTTATGTGGTGTCAAAAGCTTTTCTTCCTGATAAATAAAGAATTTTTGTCATATGTCACACTTTCATTGATTTTGCCATAAGTAATTTTATGGTTATTTTCAATTAATTTTTTTCCACATGACATTTTGTGGCTTTTTTAATTTTATAAATTTCCACATAATATTTAAATGTAATAATTACAATAAATGTAATAATAAATACATATCAGTTTTATTAATTGACTTCCTTCTAATTTCAAATTTTCTAAATTAAAGTTTCATTAGTTTCATTTGCTTATTTATCTAAATTATTTGTTTAATTTAAAAAAAACAAACAATTTAATTTTAATAATTTAATATTTTTTTATTTTTTTTCTTATAAATTCAAACTTCTCAAATGTTTAGAATTTCATATTTTTTTTCTTTAAAATGAACACATGTAATACTTAGGTATTACACCTAGTCTATTCTAATAAATGCAAATTTTTTTGTCACATGTCACACTATCATTCAACTTGTCAAATGTCATTTTGTGATTGTTTTGAATTAATTTTTTTCCACACGTCATTTTATGGATATTTTTATTTTAATAAATTTCACATAATATTAATGTAATAATTACAATAAATGTAGTAATAAATAGATATCAGTTTCATTAATAGACTTACCTTCAAATTTCAAAATTTCCAAATTAAAGCTCATTAATTTCTTTTGTTTATTTATTTAAATTATTTGTTTAAATTTAAAAGATAAAAAAAACATTTCAATTTTAATAATTCATTATTTTTCTTATTTTGTTATAGATTTAAAGTTCTCAAATATTTAGACCTTTATATATATATATATATATATATATATATATATATATATATATATATATATATATATATATATATTAAATTAACTCATTTAATACATGAGCCACTAGTAGATTAATAAACTATTTTTAGAAAAATATTTGGATTTGCTTATAATTATTTTGGATGGATTTTAGACATAAAAATCCATAATTTTGGATGGTTTTATCATGTGGCGATTTTTTATCATGTGGATTATTGGGCTGAGCACTAAAAGGCCTAAGGCCGAATCCCAAATGTTGAAGAACTAGAAGTTTAGAGGGTGTTTGGGATTACTTTTGAGCATCAAAAGTCATTCTTGTAAAAGGATTTTTTGTAAAATGACTTTTTGCAAGAGAAGGTCTTTAAAATGTGTTTGGATTAACAAAAGGACTTTTGATTTAATTTTTATAGGTAAAACAACAAAAAGTCACAAAAAGTCATGATTTTGTGACTTTTAGAAGCTCTTTATTTTCTTCTTGCCAAAAGTTATTTCCAAAAGATCTTTTGAACTATCCAAACACCTTTTGGCTTTTTTTTTTACTTTTTGGAAAAGTTAAAAGTCAAAAGTTATTTTAAAAGCAACCCCAAACACCCTCTTAGTATTGGATGAGAAATTTTTGACCACAATAGAGTTATTGAAAAAAAATATTTATCAATCTATAGTTTGACAAATATTTACAAAACTAGTTTTTTTTTTTTCATTTTCTTCTATTTTTCAGTTATTATTATTATTTTTATTTTAAATATCCTTTTTTATCTCAAGGTTAATACCATAGGAAAAAAGGAAAATAGTCTACGTTCATAAGATTGTCACAATTAAAGTTTGGCATCTTCCATTATTTACTACGGTGCCTTTAACAAGCAAATGAAATTGAACTCGAGATAAACCCTCTAGGAATAGATTGATTAGCCAAATGTTTTAGTTTGATCATATGATGTGACTCAAATTGCTTTACTTTTAGCTCAACCTATTTACAACGCACATTACTAGACATAAACTTTCTCCGGTGACTTGTCAACTTCTTCCTCCTGATGGAATTGGAATCACAATCAGCTCGATATATAGATATAAGTAATTAAACGAAACATGTTTAAAGATGTTACACATGTCACTAAGTTCATATTAACTACTCAAGAGCTAACTAGAATTAATCTGTTTCTACATGGAAATGAATTGATAAGAATAAAACCACACCTCACTTAAGAAAGTATTGGCAAATTCATCAAATGAATAGAAGAAAAGATAAAAATCAAGAGTTCCATAGTCACTTCAGAATGCGTGAGTTTGCGAGCCTCATTGTAATCATGTTCATTCATGAATATGGTCACACAATCAGTATGAGCATTGGATTGTTCCCAATGACATCATCATCTAACCACTCCTTTATACTTGAATTATGCATTACTATCAAATTCTAAAGCCACATAACAATGCTAGTTAGAGAAATATATCATTTGATCTTTAAAATGAGAACATAAATACATGTACACAAATGGCATACATACTTTTATTCGTTAAGAATACATCTCTTCGTTTTAACTATCCATGTTGCAGGTTATGAAAGAGAAGTTGGCCTAATTGACAGACATATAACTTATCAATATATTCAACTAATGTAAATTATTGTAGAACAATTCATGAAGAATACACAACAATTTCAAGTAAGTAAGATGACACCTATAATTGTTACTTCATCCTATTAGAATTGAAATGTTTAAATAGATTATACATAACACAGTGAACTAGTTGCCATATAATTTGAGTATATATCATGCAATATATTCAAAATCAAGGAATCATCTATAGAAAAGTTACTTAAAAAACGATTCACCTTTGCTGACCCACACCATGTTTCTGTCACTTCCTATTCTTCTTCTTCTTTAAAGCCTATCAATTATTTGTTCTTTTACTTTTCAATAATTTCTTTCCAACAAGGTCGGATATATTCAACAATATCATTTCCCCTTATCCTAAAAATACATGAATGGAAAGTACAAATTACTACCATATGTTAATGAATGATATGTTGGTGATTTTAGTGTCACCAGGATATTTTGTGTAATTGGAACTTACGTGTGAGTTAAGTGGCTTCGTAATTTGTACTCTAATATATGTTTGGGTATGTGCAGAGTACACACATGTATAAGATCGAATTAGAAGCCAATTTGACGTCAAGTTGGGGGTCCGAGGGCAGCGCCCCCGGGTTCGGGGTTTCCAAAGGGGTAGCACCCCTTTGGCAGGGTCTAAGGACAGCACCCCTAGCGGGGTCCAAGGGACAGAGCCCCTGGCTAGGGCCTCACTGACTAAGATCTTCAGTTTTGGAAACCATTGATTTCATCATTAATTGCGGATTCCCTTGATTTGTTTCCAAAGAAACCCATGATGGCCAACCCTAAAAACTAAACCCTACATCTTGTTTTCTATATAAAAATCAGCTCTCCTCTTTGAAGGGGATATACCTTTTAGCTTTCGTTTTTCTTCATACAAACTCAGAATTATCTAACAATTTGGCTTGCGTTTTTTGTGCCTAGATTTGTAAGTGTCTCCTTGGGATTATCCTAGGTTGAATTTCTTGTAACCCGGACATAGGGTAGAAATATCAGTTCAGAAAGTATTTACACGATCCAAGGGGTATCCAGATCTCCACTATAAAACCTACCAATTTCTAACATGATCTTGGTGTATTAATTACACAAATAACCTTCATGAGGAAGTGAAGAGAACTTGAATGTGTAATGGTAGTTTTAATGTAATATGACTAAAATTTCATGTTCAAAATGATTTGTATAATTTGTATAAATAATTGTTAAAACATTTATGTTAAATGTATATTTAAAAAAAAAGTAAAAATCTAAGTTAAAAAAAAAGTAAAAGTTTGATATTTTAAAATAAAAAATAACAAAGATAGTAAAAAACTGAAATAAAAGAAAAAGTAAAAAAACGGATATTTAAAATAAACAAAAAACAATAAAAACTAAAAAGTAAAGGAAAAATGGAAAAACACTAGTTTGATAAACATTTGTTTTAACTGTACTTGATTGGTAAATATTTATTTTTTCAAATCCTATTTTGGTCAAAAACTAATTGGATGGGAGTGTTGAAGATTATATGTAATGACTAAACATATTTGAGAATTTAGTAACACTAAAAGCCTTAAAATATCCAAAATAAATAATAAATGTTATATTTGTTAAACTTAAACTAAATAAAGAAAAATAAATGATTATTTATCTGATCATAGAGTTAAAGGAAAACACTTTATTTAATAATTAATAAAATAAAGAAAAGTAAATGTTTATTTATTTGATTATAGAGTTAAATGAAAACACTTTATTTAATAATTAATAATATAGTTTTGCATTATAAACATTAACATTTACCAAATGTTGATATACTGTTCTTAAGGTCAAATCCTTGAAACAGTCTCCTGCACTGTGCTCACTGCTCAAACATGTTCTTGCGTAGGTCCATTTTCATCCAAAGATATAGCTTAATTTTCACTATTTCTCAAATCTCACCATCCCTATCTCAGTCTAAAATCCCAAGCCCCTCAGATTTCTCTTCTCATTGTCTCTAAAACCCCTCACGATCAAAGACATCGTGCATCTCCTCTTATGTTTATTTTGTTTATAATCTGAGGTAAAAACCGTTTCGATTTTCTCACGTTTTTGTTGATCGAAGCTTGGAAGGAACGAAAACCACCTAGACCGATGTTCTTGGTGCGAAACTGAAACCCTGATCGACTAGGGCTTGGAAATTTCGGGGGTTGGACATTCACCACCACTCACCTGTTTACACCACCATCACCACCTTCTATTCACATGTTCGATTTGTTTCTCCATTTCCATCTATAAATTTTTCCATCTACATATGCAAAATGGTAGTTTGTGTTATTTGGGGTTTTCATTTTTATTATGGCTAAGGGCATCTCAAACCCACCCCCAAACTCCATTTCTTCCCCCATTCTTCTCCAACCATACCCCATTTTCACCTCCATTTTTGGAGATATGAATAGTATTCCCCCATATATGGGGGAATACTATTCATATCTCCAAAAATGGAGGTG